ACCTCATGACTGATTGTTGTAAAAATAGACTCTTGAAGTAATTCAATGTTTTGTTTTCAAGTTTAAACCAACTATTATTATTGTAATAGCAATATAAATGTATATGTAACTAGCACAACAGGCGGTCAACATATTTTCATTGTTAACTATTCTGTTAATAATAATGACTTGGGTTAACCATAATTAGTTGATTGTTGTTTACATGAAGATGATGATTAATGCAAGTCTTGCAATTGACATGTAAAAATGATAAACACAAGAGGCAATGAATAAATGGTTTGACAAAAGAGCAAAATCAAAAATTAATGAATAATCAAATGAATTGTAAAATGCAAAATAAAATATAAAAATGATTTATAAAAAAGTGAAATGATGTGCATTGGAATAAAAGAGATTTTTTCATGCAAATAGCAAAAGAAATTGAAATTCATGCAAATGCTTTGGTAAGCGTGCAGGCAAATAACTGATTGTGCATTTAATTGCTTTGGTTTAATCAATCACAAACATTTACCGATTGTTACTGTTAAAACATGAAGATCTTATAGATTGAGCTGAACGTTCACTTTGGGTTATCTGGATATTAATTGGTTCAATTAATCATTTGGTAAAAAATGATGCAAAAGGAAAGAAATAAATATGATTAGTTGATTAGGATTAATTGATTTGAATTAATTTGGTTAAAATTGAAAAGAAAGTTAAGGAATAATAAAAATGAAAGAAATGAAAAAACATTGAATTGTTATTGTGGTTTCCATGTAAATGAAAAGGTAAACAAACAAAGTTAAGGTGTCGTGAGACAGAGGAAGAGGGAGGAAGAGAAAGAGAAAGAGGATGAGAGAGAGGAATAATGAGTGAGAGTGAGAGTGACATGGTTATGATTATGATGATGAGATGATGATGAAGTAACTATAAATTGAAGGACAGGAATAAAACATGATCAAGTTCAATGGCATATAACATAACCGTTATTTTATGAATCATTCATTTATTTATATCAATAATTAATAGTTTTCATCAAAATATGGATTTTAATATTGGAAACTCTTCAGGCAACAACAATTTGATGAAACATTCAGATTTATCAGTTCAGTTATTATTTTGTTTGGTTGATGCAAAATTTTCTGAAAAATGCTTACATTTTTGACCATAAAATGGCTTCAGGCAAAAAGTTATTGAATTACAATGAAATTTAATATCATCATCATTATTGACTTTACTTTTTCTTTCATTTTTGTTTTGTTGATTCACTTTTAAAGTAAGTTAATAATTATTATAATTGTGTTGACTGGTTATTGTTATTATTTACTGTTGTCAATCTGTATTATAATGAGTCTAGTAAAGAGGTAATACACTGAAACCCATTTTTCATGTATTATTTGATTCTAATAATTTGCCTGTCAATTTGTTTGGATGCTAGTTTTTAAGTAAACAAAGGATAATTTTGTCAAT